TCGCCCGTCTTGGGATCGACTGTTCAGGAGTACGGTATCATCGAGCCGGTTGTTAGCTCGTATACGCTTAAGCTTTTGGGCCCCACCGCATCTTTGCGGGAAGCTCGAAACCCCGCTGCTGCTGGGCTGGCCATGAGACCTCGGGTTCCAATTCATTGTGAGAGGGCAGAGGCAGGCCGGCTCTCGGCGGAGGTGACGGGACTTTTCCCATGAGGGCATCTCGACGCCTCCTAGAATAAACTTTTCTACGAAGTAGGGAGGCAGCCGGCAGCCCAACCCTTGGGACGTCATGCAAACCTCGTTACACCTAAACGCAGGCATGGGAAAAAAAAAAAAAAAAAAAAAAAAAAAAAAAAGAGAAAGGGCGGAAAGGCAAATTTACACAAGCTCTTTGCTTACAAGTGAGCTTTGCTTTCTTGAGAGGGAACATTGGGGGTGGGCAGGTATCTTACGGGTCTGCACGTCAGATCCTGATCACACCTCCCGAGCGCTTCGCTCCAAACACACCACCACCACACCCCGAGCTTGGCTCTTTAATCCCATGCTCCATCCTCGCTCACCTAGCCATGCGAGCCAGCCAGAAACAGCTCGAGGGGCTCATCCCCGGGGCGCGGTCCCCTAGCGTGCTTCGTAGTCGGTCGATGTGTATCCGCTGTTAGCCATCCCCTCCCATCGAAATCCCGATCCCACCCCCTCTGTTGATCCCTCCACGTTAGCATTCCAACTAGTTGCAATCCACTGTTACCCTCCAACAGCTCACCTTCTGCACCCCGCATCAGACCTATTCGTCCTAGATCGATCGCTGTGCAGCCGATGAGAGTTAGTTGCGCTAGGACCCCGAATTACCTAAGGAGGGAGGAGGGTCAGAAGGGAGAAGAGGAGGGGGGCCGAAAAGTGAATTCCTGGTGCACGCGTACGTCGTCTCGGTGCCCAGCTGCTGGCTTACACGCATCGTGGAAGGGAAGCGCACATCACTGCTCCCGGCCAGTTAAACTTGGTGTGAATTGCTAGGTTCTCACGAGCAGGGGCAGCAGGGTGTGAGATTAGAAGACCAGAGGCAATGGTGAATCAAGAACTGTGCCATTTTCCCAATTCCATTCTCCCCTACAGCCTGCATCCGAGACCTGCAGACGGGGTACGGTGCTGGAGGCGGACGAATCGATTGCGCCGTAACTGAGGACGCCCTCGGCGTGTGAGCGGATCAATTGAACGAAGAAAAGCAATGTCGGTTGACATCCTCGACTCCAGCAAATGCCAGCGCTCGCCAATGTCCGAAGAAGTCGTTCCAACTGGCCGAGCCAGCATCGTACATTGAATTATTGGAACAGGCCAGTGTGCTACGAGGAGGTCAGGCGAATCAATGCCCCCGAGAACCCACTCCGGTGCTCGGCTCACCTCGCATGCAAGCTTTACTTCAGACCCCCTCGTTCACAGCCAGCATCGCAGCCTGCATGAAAAAAAGGCTATGCCAGCCAGTAACTTTTATTCTTTTTGACGAGGGTCGATTTTGTTCAGCAATTCCCGCCTTTTCTGATCTCCCGTTTGGCTTCCCGTTTTCGTCTAAACCACGCGTCCCTTGACCTTGGCTAATAACTGACAGAGCCCCGTTCCGCCGGTCTGGGCCGATGTTGGGCATTGCCCAGCGCTCTGCCATCGTCCATCCTTCTTGCCTCTGCCCCTTGGTCCAGGCTTTGGCTCTTGTGGAGGCTTGTGGGGCGCGAGTTCTTGTCGGGCAGGAAGGACAGAACAGCAAGGGAAAATGAGAAAAATCGATGAAAGAGGAAGGAATAGGCGTGAAAGTTTCGTCTCGTGATCACTCCATTGGTCGAATCACGGGGAAGAACACATGGTCTTTTCACATGAGCTCTGGCAAGAAACTTTTTTTTCTCCCTGGTCTTGCCTGCCCTTGATTTTTTTTGTTTCTCCCTCCTTCTCGGAATGACGGATCAGAATGTGATGGTAGGTGGCATGTACATATCAATTGATTGAATTGTACTTCGCACAACTCAATTGAATGCAGAGAGGGCCCAAGGCTTGATCTGCTTGATCTGTGGGGGGTTTGCACGAGTCCAGACACTTAATGCTTGCCAATTGAAAGCTCCAAGTTCGAGTGATGATGTATGTGACTCCGTCATCATTCCAAATTGTCAAGAGCTTGTCCATCCTGCTCACCGAGTTGACATGATAGCAGCTGGTGTCCGAAGCCTGGCGAGCCTTTTCGTGGGGAAGGTAGCAGCTTCCAAGTTTCCGATTGTCCCCAATTGCACCCCTCTCGTCCACTTAAACCATATTTCATTTCAAGATGCTTCGTATGAGGGGTGTATTGCTTCGGTGTTAATTTACACCGCATACTTTCCGTACTTTCCTTCTAATATTTCGTACGAGATTCGACCCCATCGAATTACTAGTCTGCTGCGCTACTGTAAGTTCCAGGCAGGTGTCAGGCAATTTGTACGTGCCCCAATCTTACCTTGCCCGGTAGCTTACAGTACACCAGAGCTTTGAGCTCGGAAGAGCAGTAATGGTACTTCGTACTGACCCCCACGCCCACCATTGGACCGTCCATCAGCCCAGGATGGGTTTCCCCAGACCGCCTGAGTATTCGCGTTTTCACTTGCCCCGCCCCCTTGTGGTAAGCAACCCTGGAATCGCAAAGCCCTCAAACCACGCCCCTCCCTCTAACCCAGCCAAAGAGAGTCTGGGCTCCATGAAGAATTCAACCCCACGGATGGAGGGGGAAAACCCCCTGCGACGTGCTAAATTTACCGGGTCGCATGGTACATCAGGGGTACGTTCCACGTGGAAACCTCGCGCTCTTGAAGGAAAGTACGATAAGTGTACCTCAATACCACTCTTTTCTCTGCTGTTCCCTTTCCCTCGACCGAGACGCAAGGTGTCAATTGATCAATCCTTGCAAAGCGCAGGGCGGCGGGGTTCAGGTAAAACTTCTTTTTTTCTCGCTTCTTTTTTTCTGCGCCACCACTTCAACGACTAATCATGAAGCTATTCCGACCTCGTAAACGGTTTCTCCCGTGAAACCGTGGGATGATGGGGGTCGCAATGGGATCTGATCCGAATCCCTGTTCCGCATCTCTTGGTATTATTCCTCGCTCGCGACATGGATTCTTCGGGCTCAGACCCGAACATGATGAGTTTCTCTTTGTCAAGCCCGCCGTGGGGGACGAGTTGCTATCACAGTGGCACCTTCTTTTTTCCGCCATGCCCGAGGGCCTTGCTCATAGCCCTGCCCTGCCGTCGTTGATGCCAAAAGACGTTGGATACGACCCAACAAGGGCTACTGGCAAGGGAAGCAAGTGCCGATATGACTCGGAAGCAAGGATTCGAACAAGGCAGGCAGTCGACTTCCTCTTACGAAGTACAAAGGCGGATGGAGGGCATGGGTTGAACGAGAGGGCGTGCACGCCCTGCATGCTGCATATCATGTTTTCCTCGAAACCTCGGGACTTTTTTTAAAAAAAAATTTGCTGTTTTTCTTCACGCTTGTCTTCTTTCTTCTCCTACTTTTCGGCGGGAGTACCATGCCCGAGTGGGATGGGGATGTCTCACCCCCATGCTCTCCCTCGTTTTCAGGGTTTAAAGACGCCGAGGCTGGGTGCTTCTTGCCCATGCACCTACGCCGGTGCTTTGGGCTGTGGAATGCCTTTTGGCTCGGGTTCGGGCATTACGGTGAACGGTGGACGGTGTACGGACGGAGGGACAGGTTGGGTAAGTGGTCGCGTGGCTAGGTGTCTGTCGGTTTCCCCTCTCTTGCTTTCCCTAGGTGGTGCGTGCCCCGTTCCTCCCTCACATGCCGCATGCTTGTACGTACGTTTACTTCGTAGAGCCGTTGCCGGAACGGAAGCTGGTTCCTCTGCCGGGCATTTCTGTGGAATCTGGTTTCAATGACAAAGAGCACCCGCGCGTGCGCCGTCAGAGTCCTCGTCCGGATAGGGGAGAACTGGACCCAGCAACCGGGAAGGGTTAGGCCAGGATATCCACGCTCGGGCATTTACACATTCACCCGCATCCTAGAGAGCATCTATCACCTTGCTCTCTACTTCGTATAGGTTGGCTTATTGGTTCTGCTCACTCCTTAGCCTTGCTTCGGGTGTGGGAGACAGTTCAATGAGGGGTGGCAGCAACTTGGAGGGGGTGGACTTACACCTGACATTGGACCATGTTTACGCCACACCAGAGGCCTGATCAGCCTCACTGGGCTTGACCTCAATATGACGTCAGGAGAGAGCTGGAGGGTCTTCTTCGAGTTTGCTACAAGAGAGCTGAGTTGTGACGGATGATGAAGGCTCTTGAGATAATGCGAACACCTCATATGGACCGAGCCGAGCCGAAGTGCTTTAGCTAGCCTTGCATCTTAAAATCAGTCCAAGACTACGAGAATGCTGAATTTGATCGAGAGGTGATTGATGGGATATATACAGTTGATTGAGCCCAGTGTTCAACTTAGGCCAGTCAAATTTCGAAACGATGTACGATGTTTCGGTGAGCTGTTGAGACGACCGCGACCCATCTGGACGTTTTCCCCCTCTGTCACAGCTCGCCGACACTCTACTCTTTGAAGCACTGCCCAGAGAATACAAGAGCGCTAGGCTGGGCGAAGCGGTTCTTCAATTGCGATGATGGACGCTTTCCATTGCACTACGGAGGCGTATTTTGTTAGTAATATGGACGACGAACTGTGGAAGTATGTTTCATTTATCCGCAATGCCACGGCACGAAAGCCGCTCCAATGGCCATCTTGAGGACCCCACAATATCACTACCGAAATAGGCACGGCAGGGCATCGCCGACTAAATGGAGCTGTTCAGCAAATTCAGAGAAAGAGTGTACATTGCTCTGTTCTTGCTCACAGTGCTCCCATATTAGAATGGATTACCCGGGGAGGTCATGCGGCTTTTGCTGCGCGACAAAGCTATATTCCTTTCTTCGCGAAACGCCACCTTGCTTCTGTTCAGTTCCCTTGGCTCCCTGACAGGTAAGAGATGTTGGGAAAACAAGTTTTGCGGAGCTTTTTAGCCCTCGTGGCTTCGGGATTGGTGCCGGTGGTGACCTGCGAGATCAAGGTTACTCCGTTGAAAACAACAGCATTGGGGACTGACCCCGAGGGGAGCGCGCGCCTTAACGGCATGAGCTTTCAGCAAGATGCGCTGACAACCTTTAACGGATGGTGAGAGCCAGAGAGGAAGAGAACAAAGAGCTCTTTCACACCCTCTTCTCCCACTTCCAGAGACTGACTTCGCTCTTCTTTTCCGCGCGTAGGCAATACGTCGCCTATTACGAATCGACGGGCACATACAATCGCCAAAATGTCGCCCTCGGCCGCCGCAACCTCAACGGCGGCAGCGACCCTTCGGACTGGGAAATCCTCAAGTTCACGGACTACGTCCAGCAGACGCAGGACTCGCACAACACCATCTCGCTGGGCATCTCCAGCGACGGGAAGATTCATCTCAGTTACGACCACCACGACGTGCCTCTCAACTACCGCGTCAGTAATGAGGGAGTCGCCGCGGACCCCGAGGCGCATGCGTGGAGTGCGAGTCTGTTTGGGGCTACGAGGCATGATTTGCCAGGTGCAGGGACGGGGCCTTGGAGGCCGGTTACGTATCCGCGGTTTGAGAGGGCTGGTGAAGAACTGCTTTTTGAGATGAGGATCGGACAGTAAGTTGGTGATACCCCGCTTTGCCATGCCTCTTTGATCTCAATTGCTACTAACAATCTGAATTAGATCCGGCTCTGGCGATAGCTACCTGTACAAGTACTCCTCGGGCTCCTGGTCCCCCATCGGCAAATACATCCAAGGGAACAACAACAACGCCTACATCAACGGCATAGACTACGCCAACTCCACGCTCCACATCACCTGGACCTGGCGCGAAACCCCCGACGTCGTAACAAACCACGATCTCGGGTACGCCTACAGCACCGACCTCGGGCGCACATGGAACAACAATGCCGGCACGTCCATCGGTCCCACAATCTCCCCCGCCAGCTCGGGGATCCACGCCTTCTCCATCCCGCAAAACAGCGGCATCCTCAACCAAGAGGGCCAAACCGTCGACCCGTCTGGGCGCGTCCATGTTCTCAACCGCGAAAAAGTCGGCGGCGTACTCACCTGGCTGCACTACTGGCGCGACGAGGGAACGGGGGAATGGACTAAGAACCCCATCAAGCATTCCCTCGGCGCGCTGACGCAGACGGGGAGGAGGGGGAAGTTGGCGGCGCATCCCGTCACGGGGGACTTGTTTGCCATTTTGGCGGCGAACGACGGGGTTGATGTCGCGGTTTACGCGGCGACAAAGGCGAGCGGGTATGAGGATTGGAAGGAGGTGTGGAGAGAGGGGAGGTTTGATGCCGAGCCGTTGTTTGATCGGGCTTTGTGGAGAGGGCAGGGGGGCGTTGAAGGGGGTAAGATTTTGAGCTTGTTTTTGAATACACAGGGAGGGTATCCGGAGAGGAAGGTGACGGTTGTTGATTTGGAGGTGGAGGTGTGAAAAGTAGATCTTTAGATCAAATGGGGAGATGTTCTTCTTTGGAAGTTTACTCTAGATGGTGAAAAGGGTGAGAAAATGAGGGTTAAAAATCTAGCTGTGAGCTTGTCCCTTAGATGCTAATTGGTATCTATCGCTTCGCTTGCATTTAGTTCGTTATTAGTACAATATTAGATGAATCCCAGCCTCGATGTTGACCATCTTCCGAATGGCATGGCACCAATCAACATATCAGCCTGGAAGTTCCGCAATGGGACCATTCCTCGGCTCAGCCGCAGCATACGGCTGCGGATCCGGCGTTGCCGAATCGCTATGCCTCAGATTCGACTCCCTCTTCGCCGCCGCCGGGGTAACCGTGGACGCAGTCCCATCTAGCTCCGACCTCATCGACCACGGTCTCGCGCCCCTCGACTCCAACTCCGACGGCGCCGCCAGCGAACCGGGCGTCCCCGGCGCACCAAAAGGCCCTGGCGCAACACTGCCGTCACCACTACTCTCCAGCTCGGCCTTGGATTTATTCTCATCGTCCTTCCTCCTCCGCCTCAGGAAAAGCAGAGCCAAGACGGCGAAAACAGCAATGGCGCCCACAGAAACACCTACACCAATCCCCGCCTTTGCGCCTACGCTCAAACCCCCGCCACCGCTGCTGTTATCGCCCAGATCTGCTCCATCAGTCTGCGAAGGGGCAGCGTCCCCAGACGTCGCGCTCGTAGAAGGGCCGCTCGAGTCGGTTGTGGGTGAGGGCACGTGTCCCGGTTGCCATATGACGCTTTGTCCCGAGGCCGTGGGGAGCTGTACGACGTTTTCGAGGATGGATGCGTCGGTGAAGGCGACTGTGCGCGAGGTGGAGGGGCAGAAGCAGTGGTCTGCTGAGGTGAGGGTTTCTGGACGGGAGGATTGCGAGCAGGCGACCCATTGGTTGGAGGTGCCGTTGCAGTAGACGAGGCCGGTCCAGGGTTGGCCTTTTCAATTGTGAGCGTGTTGTTGGCGAGCTGGTTTAGTTTGGTGTTAAGCGGAGAGAGTGTACATACCGTCAAAGGCGCCTTTGTCGGGACAGCTCTCGTCCTTGTACTCGGGATCACTGCAGCCAGAGAGATACGTGATTCCAAACTTGCCGTTGAAGCAGGCGTGGCTGGAGAGACACATGTCGCCGGCCTGGCAGCACGTCTTGTGGCCTAGACCGGCGTTGCCGCAGGGGAGCATAAGCGGATCGGCCTCGTCATCGCGACCGGAGTAGCAGGTGCCGTTGGAGATGAAGGCATTTAGGTTAGACATGGCTCGGTGAGGTTACTGGGGAGGATTTTTGTTTTTATTTCTTTTTTTCGTTTCTTTCTTCCTTCGTTCCTAGGCGATGGCCATGTCTGAGGGGGGGATCTTGGCGTTCGGCGTGGTTTGAGTCGTAGGAAGTTTGAGCTTGGACGGGTTTTCTCTTGGCGATGAAGTTTGGATTCGTTTTCTGTTTGGCAGCATTCAATGGTGCTTTGAGGAATGAATGAGAAGAGGAATGGAAAAAAAAAAAAAAAAAAAGGAGCAGAGAGGAACGGAATGATTCTCGCGACGTTTGAGGAATGAAATCTACCAAAATGCGACGGGAAGGAGACAGGGTCACACTAAGGGACATGAATCACTCTCTCGCAAGGACCCGAGCAATCACAACCAAAAGGGATCAATTCAATTAACAAGATACGAGCTCGAACGGGAACGGGAACGGGAAACTGCTCCAGCCACCAACGAGGGCACTGCCCGCCTCTTTCCTTCCCCGATCCTACCCTTAATCCAACCAACGGACCAAACAAGGCCCGGCGATGCCTGTGCTGCGCATCGTGTCGTTTTCCCCATCGCCTGTTCCTGACAAGATGTGTCGGTTTTACATTCGCTCTTGGTGGAAGGTATCATCGCAAGGACCGAGTATGCGGGTACCTCTGTTTCACCATTCAAGTACTTCGTACGACGTCGTACCCTGGCGTGCCTGAGTTCGGGCCGGGTAATATGAAGGGGGGAGGGAGGATGGATCTGCAGTGGTTTATTTTTGGGATCATAGGATTTCCGAGAGAAGCCCCTTGGAATACAAGTTTTCGGCCCGCGGACCTCAGTTGGAAAAAAGATGGGGGATAGAATTGAGGGCTCCCTGTAATTGGGGCCGAGGATTTACTTAAGGTCCAGTTTCTTCTCTATGTACAGCGTAGGCCACCATGCAACCATCCTCGTTCAAACGGCAATGCCCGAGATGATAAAGGACATCCGAGGCATGATTCGACCCTACTCCTTGGAGACATCCGCCGCTCCCTTCGAACCTTCCCGAGCCTCGTACAAAGCCCTACCTTCGTCAAGGAAGACAGTCCTCTATCTGGAAGTGCTCTCGCATCCTGAGAAAATCGTCACAGGCAATCGGGGGGGGAGGGGGGCTTGCACTTCCATCTCGACATGTTTCCACTTTTCAAGCCCTCGATTGCATGTAATCCGAACTTGGATCCAAAAGAACGAATGAATCGAGGTTGCGCCGTGCGCCCACAATGCTGCTCACTCAGAAGCCTCTGGATTCCCATGAAAGCCTTGTCGTACCTAGCAACATCTCGCTCGCTCTTAGGTGCCGACATTCAGAACGGGGCCAGACGCGCCATATGCCACCATCGTGACCGGCAAAAGACATTGCTCGAGCCTCTCACTCTTACACCCCTTACACACCCTGCTTCATCACCCCGCTGCCTGCATCGCCTGCTCACCGTTAATTGGCCTGTTCATCACCAAGGAGCTCTGAGAGGTTCGCTACGGCGGATTGTAGCTCGCTCTCAGCAAAATGATTCCGTTGCTCCTCCAAAGTCCTAATCAAGACTTGTCCAGATGTGGTGTTTAGGTCGAAGGGCTTGCCACCGTAAAACCCTGCCTCCTTAAAATTTTGCAATCATGATACGTTTTCTCGCTGCGTTGTATAACATATTGCGAGGATATGGATCGCCGTGACGGATTTTCTGCCGATGAATTTCTGCATACGCCCTGGTTATCGCGTCGATTGCGAGGGCTCCGTCAATACATCTTGCTCTCATTTTGCAGACTCTGAAGTCTTACAGCCTCTACTCCCTTGGCAAGGAGGGTATACCCATAGGCAGACAGTCGGAACTTGAAGAGCGACCTATAACCCTCGGATCGGTAGAGCGGCATGGCGCCCGCATCCGGTCCACGGTCTTCAGCAAGCTGACTGAACGCGAAGAAGACGAAGGAACTCAGATTGGGAAATGTGTCTCGGTCCATGGCTATGAGCGTTAGGACAGGTCTTATCGATCGCCCGACCCAATGTTAATCCAAAGATGCATTGGCGGGTGCAGTACGGCTGGTCGTGTATTCTTTCCCGAGTCACCATGCCCTCCTTCCGTCCTTCTTGCCTGCTCTGGTGCCGTCCCTGGTCGGGAATTGTGTCCAGGATAGCAGTTCTGCTGACGGAGCGAGTCATGGATAGATGGGTATCCCCGCTATCGTTGTCAGGTCGTGAAATTGGCGAACGCTCGAGGCTCTTCCGACGCAGGGCTTTGTACGGGGAAGCGGAAGGTGGCCTGCGGGCGGCTGCGTTCGAAAATCTGGCCAGCATGTCCTTGAACTCCACAACCCACCTACCGAGTCTTGAAGCAGTATCATTCCAGGATTGTGGAGGCAGTGGTACACGAAGGGCCCGGAGGGTAAAGGCCAGGACTTGCACGAAAGCGGTACGGTGAAGCCTGTTCTCGTTATCCTCGATAATGTCCAGATTCGGCACACATACGTGATAGCGCACACTCGTAGGATCGTCTGGGATGTAAAGAAAGACGAATGCCTGTCCCGTACAAATGTACCCATACTGAACACCCATCCTGACCAAATGGGGGAAAAGTTGGGTGATGGCAGCGGCAGCGAGTGCCTTCGCTGGGAACACGAGGTTGTCGTCTCCTCTGTTGATCACGTCTCGCTCCAGCTGGATCTCGGACACTAACCCCGTAACCAAATCGTTCCCGGTTAGCTCGTATGGAAGTTTGTACTCGACTGCCATCAATGGGATGCTTGTGCGGTCTGATATTCTGTATTTGCAGAGCTGGTCTAGTCGATAGCGAGGAGGCGTGAGGATTTGTTGCTGCTGTCATGGGGGCCGTATCTCTGGTATCGTCCCAAGGAGATTCGGGCTCTCCAGTGAAAAGAGCGTCGTCGGTGGCTACCTCCATCGCGAGACCGGGAGCGTGACAAGCTTCAAGACAATGCCCGGTTGGTTGTGGCTGTGCTGTGTCTATCCTCCCTTTCATCGCCCTCGTCTCTTCTCCCATCACCTCGATCAACTAGTTCATCAAGTTTATCTCTTCTGCCATTTCTTCGCGTAGGGCACCCTCTGCGGATTTGGATCAGCGCCTCGCCTCCAATGTGCGACTGTTCGCTTCCGCGACAGCTTGGTGCCACCTCGCGACCTCATCTTTTAGTTCGGCTTCAGTGTAGGGTGCCATGGCGACGGTTACCACCCTGCACCGAGGTAAAGCTGTCGAGGTTTTCCCAGATTTGAGGCTGAAGACGTCTCTAGTGAGTCTGCAGTCTGGCCTTGGTTCTCAGCGGTGGGAAAGCAGTCGAACAGTTTCCCTTATGGCAGAAACGTCGCAAGGGATTGAGTGATCCGACAGAAGATGATGGGGAAATATTTGATGAGTTTGTATTGACGGATTTGTTTGGTGGGAAGATCATGGAGGTTATCGAGGTGGGAGGCGACGACAAGTCATGGCGAATGGTAAACAGGCTCCATCTGAATCAACACCTGTTGTGCTTTCACAGGCAGACGCCTTCGGTTTCCTTCTTCTTGCTCCAGAGAGCTCAAAGGACGAGAAGGAGGTTCTGATTCTCCATTCTTTGGTTTTGTCTCGGATAAACACTGCCAAAGCGTCGGGGAAGGTGCGACCGTGACGATCTCGATCGTGATTTCAATTTCAACTTGAACAAGAGTGCAAAGCCGTCGGCACTGATGGGCGAGGCTGACAACGAGTAGATTCGCGTTTCCGCTAGATTTCCAGCTCTCCACTGAACAAACCAGCGAAAAGCCAAGTATCAATCTATTTAATATTTGATACAATACCATTTCGCTGTCTTGCATGGCGTGCAATTGGCTTGCTAGGTTCATCTTCGTCCTCGATCAGCTCAGGAATTCTCACTAGAATTCGACATCCGTTCAATTCTACTAGACTTCTGATCCGATGAACAAGTTGACCAAGTTCTTGTTGAATAACAAAAACGGGGAGAGACATCACCTCAACGGCGCAAACAGATTGAAATGAGCAGAATTTTAGACTCCCCAGAACAGCTTTTGACGAACTCTCATCTCACAATCTCTTCCTTTCTTCTTTGTCCTCTCAAACTCTTAACGCCTACTCTCTCCATTGAAATTAAAACAACACGGACACCAACTTGAGATGACCCTTCCCCCTTTCCAACCCCCTTCTAATGCGCAAACCTAAAGTCTAGTCTCTTCATGCCCTCATCCGTGGTATTGAGCACATAATCTTCCTGCTGCTCCTTGGTCAGAGCATTCCACTTCCTGTCTCGCACCTTGTTCCTCCAAATGTAAAACGCCTTGACGAGGTAAAACAGCACAATGTTAAAGACCGTAATCCCCAACAAGATCTTATTGCCCCTCCTGTACAGCGGCTTATCCTCCTCTCGGTAAATGTTGGACGCGACGATGTTCCCGGACTGCACGAAGATGTTGTACATGGCCGCACTGACGGCCCGCGTGCGCACGCTATTGCTGTTCCGCGCATTCCAGCCCACAAGCACGGCGTGGCAGTACGGATAGCTCAGAAGACCCGTCAGCAAGGCGTACCGGATCCAGGGGCTAGTCGACGCAGGGAGGACGACGAGGGCGAGGAGCCAAGGGAAGATCCAGATGTTAGACGACGACGAGACGATGGCGCGCTCCTTGAACTTTTCGGAGATCCACGTGATGATGAGGAGGTTGACGGCGAAGAGGAACTGCGACGGGATGGCGAGAAGGTTGGCCTCGAAGACGCTGAAGCCGAGCTGGCGGAGGATGTACGAGAGGTACGTGTTGGGGGGAGCAGGGGGGATGTACGCCGTGAGGCCGATGAGGTAGAGCGGCCATTGCTCCCAGTCCTTGAGGGTCTTCCAGAAGAGGATGTGGTCGACACCCTGCCTGTTGTTCATGTCGCCTTTGCTGGGGTCGTCTCGGAGGAGGCGGTTGACCATGATGTATTCTTCACGTTCGCTGAACCAGCCGTTCTTGCCGCGGAACCAGCTCTTGGTCTGACAAGGGCCGGGGGGCATGAGCCCCCAAGATAGAATGCCGATGATCACAGTCGGGATGGCCTCGAGGAGGAAACTGTTTGGTGGGTCATTGTCAGTAGGGATTCTAATGGTAAAGGGTTTGTGGGAAGACTGACAGCCATCGCCATCCTCCCCAGCCGTTTATTCCTCTCATCTTGAGTACGCCAGCGGCGATCAAGGATCCTACAATGTTGCAAGTGCTGTCGAATACGTTGTTAGCTTTCCGATATCACCTCAGCCTGTTCTACATCCGAGCTTCGCTCACCTCAAGGCCGTCCAGAACCACGCCAACCTAACAGGGAGCTCGTTCGACTTGTAATAGTAGGTGAGCCACAGGACGATATCACTAGAAGGGGTTTTTATTAGTATACATGGCCGATAAATAAAAGACGGGGACACCTTGTGGTAAGAGATAACAACACGGCCACTTACGGGATGAAGCCTCCCATGAGCAGGCCCAAGAGCGCCTTGATAGCGTAGAACGATGCCCGGTTCTTCAGGAACGCTTGCGAACCGGCGACAATAGACCACGAGATAATGATGGTGGGGATCCATCTAATAATTCCCGTCAGAAATTTGCACTGGTTCAAAAGAGGTAGCTGCAAGGAGGTGGAGGGGGAGTTAGCGTGAACCGGGAGGGTTTGCACATACCTGTCAGCACCGATTTTCTTGCTGATGAGGCCGCTGGGCAACTCGGCCGCAAGGAAAGAAAGGAGGAATATCTACGCAATATTAATGAGCATTGGTTGCCAAGGTGTCTCCAGTGTTGGTGTTTGAGGCTGAACTTACAGTTTGACCGTAGTTGAAATCGTTCGTGTTCATGCCGAGTTCGGGAAGCTATCCCCCGTCCGTTAGCAAGATTTCTTCCCCAGATCTTTGGCTTTCTTTGCTATTCCTGAAGGGTGAGACTTACCATGTTGTCGGAAATGGCACGGTTAATGCTCTTCCGGTGAAGATCGAGAGAGCAGAACATAACCCATGCCCAAACCATGATTCTCTTGTCCAACTACTCTCAACAAAGGACGTTAACTCAATCCCAATCCATACGACTCAGAAACATGACCCAATGGGGCAGCCATGCCATAGCGTGTTCCTCTCACACAACCAACCAACCACAAGAAAACTCACCTTGCGAACGAGTTTCTTCTCTTCCTCGGCCGTCCACTTGAAGTCTGGGTCAAACCGGTGGCGATTTTCATACCGGGCCTTCTCGTAGATGCCGCGCCAGTAGTCCGCCACGTTGGGGTCCTTGAACACATGCTCGTCGGACGAGCCGTATCCGCCCGAGACATCGTTCCGGGAGGATACGGATGCGGAGTCGACCGAGGGAGGTGTATCCTCCACCTCGATCTTCTTACCCATGTCGACTTTGGCGATGGGCTCTTTGCGGGGGGGCAGAAGTATTGGGACAGGTCCGTAGGTGTAAGTGTTTTAGGTGTGGTGGTCCCGGCCAAAGGGGGTTATCCGTGCCTTAAGTTTGAAGTTTGACTGCCCTGAGGAGTACTATCGATGGCCTCTCAAGTTCATCGTGAAACGGTAATGGCGACGTCTGAGGACTTTATATCACATCCTTGACAGGTTCTTACATACCCCTTCGGCCAGTGACCCCTCAAGGGAAAAGAAAAAATATCTCAGTCCCACTGCCACATCCCAACTGCCCCTGGTACGATTAGCAATCGATATTCCCCCCCCATCCAAGGTCGTTTTTCCCAATACGGCAGATATATGATGGTAACATTCATACTATGATTACATCATATGCTACAGCTCCTGACCGATATAACGAGAAAGAAGCAGGAAAGAGTAAAAAATAACGGTGACATCTCGATGCCTCTGCAGGCGTGCATGCCCATGCGCCGCGTGTTGGATATACGATTAGGTGGGGATGCAAGTGGGATGAATGGACGGTTGGCGATGCCCAGGCGATGGTGCAATGGAATCCCCGAATTGCGAGGTATAAAAAAATCGGGCGAGTGACTGAGAAAGATTGGACTTATTTTTGGTATGATAGGGCCCGCTGGAACGCGTGCAATCGTTTCCGTGTTGGGAGAGAAACGAAAGTGGTCCCGGTCGTATGCCAAGACTGCCCGGTCCCCATCCGGAGTGGCGGGGTGAGCAAGACGCCATGTTTTCCACTCGAAAGGAATTATAAGGAGAATAAAAAAATAAGGAAAATGAGATGGACAGAGACAACGACGAGACCAAAGCGGCGACATGCATCTGATGCTATGGGCCCACGACGCCTACCGGGGGGACATGTCGAGCAAAGTTCGCCCATTACAACTCCAACCCACTTCTGGGAGGGTCCTAGTAGCAGTGGCCAGAATACTACCTCAATTTTGATGTACATTGCAGGACGACGAAGCTGCATTCTGCACGTGCTGCTGATCCGGGGTGAGAGACCGACTCCCGGATCCTTGGACGAAGAAGGGAAATATGCCAACACAGATTCCAGAAAACCGAAAAATATGACACGTCTATTGGCTCAAAGGAGGCCCGGGTCCAGAGAAAGATAAGAAATCATTGCCTGCCCCCCTCCCTTCCACGTCGGCTTTTAGATCTAGGTCCCCCCACGGAAATGGCGCCATGTGGGCAATATATGAACCTTGCGTGCTACAGAAACACAGAAAAAAGCTTCGATTAAGGGTTCATCGGACTTGAGTCGACGAGGCAAAGGATCCAGCTGAATGTTTCTCGCTCTGCATTCCCCCAGTTCCGGGTCCTCGTTGGCGGTTCTGCCGTGTTAGTGAACACCCGAGTTTGGCTAGTCCCGCCCAATGCGAGTTTACAAATACACTTTATTGACTCGAGGCAGATGCGTGGGCTGGTGGGAATTTTAAACATTGCATGTATACTAATACTAATAGTGTAGGGTACTAAAACTACTTTATCGCCTGGGCGAAGCATGTTTCGAAACCCTTGAGCTTGGACGGCTTCGGGTACGAGAAGGATGGGTGGAGACCGGCCGAGTTAACCGCATCCGTCCATAGCACGGCTAGAGGACCCCTGAACTTTCGAGGACCACTTTGCCAGACGATTGGAGAGGTGGTCTTCTCGACGTTTATGATATTGGTTGAGAGCTTACTTCATAGGCTTCTCAGGGACCTAATTTCTGGCGCAGGAAGCTTAATCTCTATGGAGTACGCTATGAGCTAGTTTATTCTGACATCTACGGGCCATCTTGCAATTTGAAGGGGGTTTAGCGCCAAAACCATTCATCGACTTGGTGCGACGTGTAAGTGAAGTTTAAAATCCGATTTCTTAAAATCTTTAGCTTCTCATCATCATAGACCAATCAGAGCCAATGGATATCTCATTCTAGCGCTCTGAAGCTACATACATCGATCATTTGATATTGCCATTTTCAAAAAAAGGATTTTTACGCTACTTGCTAGTGGCTCGGGGCTCGGTTATTCCTGCGCTTTCCACGCTTACGACTTGGCCACAAACGGCGTCTCGTAGGGCCTCTCAGCCTGCGGCGTAATGCGAGCAAGGTGCCTCCTCTCGCCGGTGGTCCAGTCGACGATGGCGGAGTGCTGCGTCACGCGGTTGTCCCAGACCACGACAGTGCCCTTCTCCCACTTGACACGAACCTGGAAGTCGGCGCCCCAGGCGAGGTGGTCGTAGAGGAAGTTGAGGATGGCATCGGATTCCTCCTTCTTGAGGCCAACAATGTTACGAGTGACTAAAATTTTCTCTGTCAGATTCTCTCTTTCCATTTTTTTTTTTCTACCCGTTACGATTTCTGCTGTAAATGGAAATGGTGGGACTTACACTGAGGGTTGACGAAGAGGGCCTTTTCGCCAGTGACGGGATGAGTCCTGACGATGGGGTGCTCGTTGACGACGGGCTCCCGCCTCTTAATGCCTCCGCGCCTCACAGATCCATTCGCCTGCTCAATAGCAGAGTGCCTGGCCTTAAGCCCATGCAATCTCTCCTGGAATAGCGGGCTCAAGCGGTTGTACGCCTCAGCCGCATTGGCGAAGAGGGTATCTCCACCAGTGCTGGGGAGATCCAGGACGTACAAAAAGGTTGTCCCGGGTGGCTGGGCCTCGTAGGAAACGTCCGAGTGCCACGCCACTGAGCTGGTTCGGTTGGCAAAGAACGTGTCAATGGCGTTATCACCGGCCTGCCTGTGCACGAGGTGAATCTCGGGGTGGCCCTCAGGAGAACCAGAGGTGGGGTGGATGTGGTGGCGACCGAAGTAGCCTCCGAACTTGAGGGCCTCGGCGATGGGCAGGTCGGCCAAGTCCTGGTCGCGGAAGGCCACGACCTTGCGCTCGGCGACGAGGCGCGCCAGCTGGTCCTTGCCGGCGGACGAGAGCTTGGAGAGCTGGATGCCCCGGACCTCGGAGCCGGTCTTGGGCGTCAGGTGGGTGATGGTCACTCCGTCGCCGAGAAGCTCCGGGTAGGTTGGGTCGGCGTCCTTGCCGTGCTCGACGTGCTCGAAGGGTTCGAGCGGGGCGTACTTTTGCTCGGGGTTCCAGGTGGGGAGGTAGTTGGGGTACTGTTGAGGAATGTTAGAAGATGAAGAGACTCATGAATCCATGGTTGAAGACCAGGTTTGGTGTGGGGGGGAAGACGGCAATTGCCATTTTGGGAAATGTTTGCGGGTTATGACGCTGAGCCAAAGGATGACTTGACATGGGTGACGGTGGCGTGCATGCATGGACAGGGTCATTGACATGGCAGAGGGAAAGGGGTGGGCAATCGGTGGAACTTGGAACGACAATGGAATGACGGCCGTGGTATTGCTACATCACATTGTCCTATAATACAGGGTACGAATATGCTTACCGAAGCGGGGGCAAAGTCACCAGTGCCCTTCTTCTCAACCTCTTCGGAGAATTTGGCAGTGCTGATCTCCTTGTAGTCGCCGGGGGGAGCTTCTCCACCGTAGCTCTTGTAGCTCGAGTGGACGGGGAGCTGGACGGGCAGAGTCTCGACAGCAGCAGGGGCCATGGCGAAAGGTACAGCGTTGGCAATAGAACGGAAATTTTGGTATATAGAGCAGAGCAGGCAAGGAGCAAGTATCAAGAGCTTTTAGGTTTATGGCTCGATGATGATGATATCTGAGGAGACGGCGACCCCGTGTCGAGGGACCCTTGCCATATATGTATATGTAGATACTTGACTCTGAGGAAAAACAAGATTACATTACTCCTCAAATAGAGTGCCAACCGGAGTTCAAGTCTCGATGCTCGGCAGTAACAGATGGTGCTTCCCAGTCAACCGGGGCACAGGGATGCGATTGCGCAAGGACCAAGTGCGATTGCACATCCCCAAGTCGAAGAGGGGAAAATGCACTCAAAACTAGAGCACGGAGAGTCCCGTCAGGCCACTTTTTTTTCGTGCCTGAGGGATCTCGATTTTTGGATTTATCAGCAAGATCACTTATACCTCAAAGAAAGCAGAGATCGAATCGTCTGAGAGGCTGGATGGGCAAGTCGAGGCGGGGAGTTGAGGGCGTCGCTGGGGTGGGGGGAACGGGTTGACGGCCGTGGGTATCTCGAGAAAGGGGAAAGGGGATGGCGCAGCGCGTTTGGCCAATCCACGACCCAAATCACGCAATCCCGCGATTTGTGCGAACAAAGTGCTGGCACCCCGAATAATAATCACGGACGGACACACAATTGGAAGGTTTTCTCGAGACTCTGGGGGACGCTGATCATTAATTCGTAGTCCTGGATAGAAAAGACGAATTGTGGGCACTCGCACGAAAATTGGCTGTCTGTTCGGCCTGTCTTCCCCGTTTATTGGTGCAACTATACACACCACCATCCGCAAACCGCGAAGCATATCGCCATCGCAAGGTCGCTGAGCTAGAACTCTAGCCGGAGCTCGCAACGTACGACTTGGGTTCCTACCGGCAGATTGGCAAGATTGACAGACCGGGACCCTGCACCAGGGCCGTGTATTGCGTTATAGATGGGAGATCCAGACTCGTTTCAACTTACACGTTTTTTGATTAGTGCGTTGAGGATTGAGCGTGATGAACCTTGAAATCCAAGTCGCGATCTTGTAATGTCCGTACGTAATGAGTAGGACCTGGTCTAGAACATGAATATCGAACCACTGAGCCACTGCAGGCGACCTGGCATCTCAGGTCTCATCGCCGTGAGCAGTTCGCGATGTCGACATCGCTTTCCCGGACTTAAGGCACGGGTCGGGTTTAGGGTTACGGTTAGCTGCCATTGATCAATGGAGAATGGAGGCAGATAGGGTGCTCAGAGACAATGAAAACAAGGGTCTCCCTCCGATCCCGGAATGAAGAGACTTCTTTGTTTAGCCAAAAACTCCGATTCTGGATTGAACATTCAAGCTTCAGCAAGAGTTTGAGGATTGCGCAATCGGTGCGCCGTGTGAAGTCGTCAAGATACTCCGTCTTGGCACGGCAGTGGAACGGATGACTGCAACTGCATGCAATTGAGGGTGGGGTGCGAAGAGTGGTGGCTGAGTCAGCAGGCTGCCAAGCGCAGCGATGATCCGAAGACGCGAAAGTCGGCGTCAAATTGCTGCCGAAGCTGCTTTCGTTGCTTCAATTCTTTTCAATTCTTACCCTCCCCACATTGAAATCATGAGGCCAATCGCGCATGCGATTTGGTAATCAATGGAGGATGGAGGATTGGCTAGCATTTTACCTTTGTAGCTGGTTCGGAGGTAAATTTAGTATCAAATGCGGCCCTGTTAAGCCTAATTCTTCCTCCCTAGCTCGTCCAAGGGAATGCCGAATCGAAATCGGTCAAGGACATCAGGGCCACATTGTCCGACAGACCACAGCGAGATGCAAGATTCTCAATTGTCCCAACAGGTAGAAAGGTGCAGGTGGCCGCACAATGGTCGCTCAAGGAATCCTTTGGCTTCGTTTCGAAACAATGTTGGCACCTTCGACTCCTGCATCCCCCCTGCCGGCCCTGTAAAACCCTCCCCCAGGTTTCTCACACTGCAAATTTTTCTGGACACTCTCAGCCAACACAGCTGGGATCTAGCGCTGAGGCGACGCCAAACGTCTCCAACCACAGCGTCGGAACGTGGCGTGCGTGGCCCTATTGGTCGCCCATCTCACCACTACCGCAGTTTCTAAACGCCCGGGGAAAATAAACTAGTGTGCCCTGTCCAGCCAAATGTGCCTCCGGCACCAACACTACGACACCCTCCCATGCAGGGGCCCAAAGGATTACTTTTTCCAACGTCAGGCAAACCGCATCTCCGCGGAGCTCAACCTCATCTCATGTTTGGTACGTCCCAATGTGCCAACCTCGGCGCCAAATGCTGGGAGAACACTGGCTCGGGGATGCAATCGAGGATCGATTTGATCTGGCAGGGCTGGACTTTGGCATATACCTGGCATGCGCCACCCATCGTGTTTGCTTGAATCCTGGGTTCTGTTGGGACCTGCGACCTTTTCTTAGGCCTAATGTGACGTGGTGCCCCATCGTGTGCAGTGTTGGTGCTCTTCGCAAAATCCTTCGTCCACAACTGTCAATTGCACAGAAATTCTAAGCCTTCATTTCTATTTGTGTCTCGTCAAGTAAAAGCGATATCGACTTATCTCTTGGTCCCCGTCATCCTCGTGCTAGCTCCGCTTTTCTGTCTCTCTAATCCGTAGTCAATTTCCTTGTCTTCGGTACTCTATCCACCACCACCACCACCAGACCCACACTTCGGTAAGACGGCACGATTTTCTCAATCACCGACCGGGAATTCTGGACAGGAGAGGAAAAGAAATGAAATAAGATCACCAGAGATGGGTCCTCCACCTCCATACCCCGCCGAGATCATACTGGGCAATCCCAAACGCTCATGCTGGACCTTCGATCCCGCCTCCGGCTTCTATGACCTCACCCACCCGACTCGCTTCCGCCACTCCCGACTCCCCGTCCTGCGCCTAAAAACGACGACAGACCCCATTGTCGTGAACCCCCTCAAATGCGCCCTCATCGTCGTCGACCTCCAGAATCTCTTCCTCTCACGCGCCCTGCTCAACCGCCAAAGCGCTGTCCACGCCGCTGAAGAAACACTCCGCGTCCTCGCCTATCCTGCCGCTCAAGAGGCAGGCATCCACATCGTCCATCTGACATGGGGTTTTACTGAGGAGGAAATACGGTCGGCGCCGCCTCCGCTTCTGCGACGGTTCGGGTCGCTCTTGGATAAGATTGGTGTCGGGGAGCGCATCGGTTCCTCCTCATCTTCTTCTTCTTCTTCGTCGTCGGCCTCTTCCTCATCTTCCTTGCGTTCGTATTCCGTCAAATCTCCAACGGTGCCGACCATCGCGAAGCCGACAATAGGAGATGAGATTGGCCCCATTACGCTTTGGAATAAGCAAGTCGTCCTCGGGGGACGGCTCCTCCTTCGAAACACCTGGAACGCAGAACTCTACGAATCCACCCGGCGCGCCTTCGTGGCCTCGCACGATACACCGCTACCTCACGCGCGTTTCCACAAGACGCGACCTTCGGGGTTCTTCTGGGCCGGTCCGTCCTCGGGATCGGGAGATGCGGGGGGACCCGACATCGTGAGGTTCCTTCGCGCCAGAGGCATCACGACGCTGTTTTTCGGTGGCGCGGGCACTGAGGCGGGGATATGGGCTTCGGCGCAGGATGCGTGTAATTGGGGCTTTGACGTTATTATGTTGGCGGATGGGTGCGGGACGACTGCCACGGAGGGCGTGGTCAGGATGGTGGAGGAGTCTTGGGCGGAGGAGGTTGGGTTTGTGACGAGTTGTGAGGAGTTGTCGAGGGGGGTATCGAGTATGGTGAGAGAGCGTTGAAGGAGATTTAGGCTGGTTATTCATGTGCTTTTACGTTTGCCAAACTGGGATGGAGGAGTTGATTTCTTGAGCGATATATGACTAGTGTGTTTGGCGCATACCGGGAACCCTGTTTTTTGTTCTTCTTTTCCTTTTCCTTTGTTTCCTGTTGGCTTGGGTATTACCAGTGAGTGTGCCACTTGAGAAACAAGATCTTCTAGTTAGGAATGATTCAATGAACTTGATGAGACTACTTTGCGTCATCCATATTCATGTTTGCCATGAGTCAAAGGAAAAAAAAATAGCGCAACAAGATCCCAACTAGATTCATTCCCAGCAGTTTAGGAATCTTCTGAAGCTCTTCAAATGTGTTGGGCAATCAGAACAGAGCGTACGTAGTACAAGTGGTAATAATTCTAAGTCTGCTAACACTCTCATCACACCTAACCAGGATATTCCAACCTAGGACGATGGACATGCTGCGCACCTTCACCTCGGACATGACTGCCCATCCCCTAGCGAAAGTTGGTAAACAACATACTAGGCGTGATAAACAATCAGAGACGTAACAAAGGAAAAATGGGCAATCTCGGTGAAGAGGTGGAAATAAAATGCTTGCTAGTGACGAACCCAAAGGCAAATATCAGCTTGAAAGCCACAGTCTTATCACTAATATCCATATACAACATGCGCCGCTTTCCTTACTTACTTGTTAGCTGTCCCATTCTCCAGTATATTCACATTGCCCTAGATAATAAAAACATCTAAGTGCCCGGGGGGTGCATTCCTTCCGATTCGCGCAGCTCTCCTGCGATCTCTAGACAGAGCAGAATGGGCACGCGCAATGGCGCAAATATGTTGACACTTTATTCAGGGAAGAATTCATGAATCGTATCTGCAAGGAAAGCAGCAGTTACCCCTTCCAGAGCTTGAGAGTACGACCTTGGGACAGTTCATGCCTCAACTACAAAAGGGCCTTCCCACTCCCCTCTCGGTCCCTTTTCTCTTTTCTCCCGCAAACAACATCGAATAGTAAGTGGCCAGCCCTGTCATTGCGGATCTGAGTTCCCGTATGCCTTTAGTTGCTACGGGTTGATGCCAACCTTGCCGCCGTCCATTGTGGACTCGTAGCTAGGTCGCCGTTGTCCTACCTTTTCCTGCTATTGCTGACCTACTATTATTAACTTCTTCATCTCCAAGCGATCTGGCAACA